GTGTGTGCGTGCGTGCGTGCGTGCGTGCGTGCGTGCGTGCGTGCGTGCGTGTGTGTGCCACACTACTACACCGATGGAAACATGGATGCATGAGCCATTGAGCATGGTCAAACACATTGGGATATATTGTTGCATTATTATTTGCTCGAGCAGCCCGTGTAAATTTTTTAGTATTGATGTATAATGCCATTTAATTGCAGAGCGTTGCGTAGCCGACCGTTGTGTACATTTTACGTTATTGACGTTCTAGAGACAAAGCGATATTGCATATGTGCAGTCTCCTCTCACTCTTTCTCTTCTCGCTCTCTCCCTCTTTCTCCCTCTCCATTCCCCCTCCCTCTCTTCCTCTTCCTCTCCCTCTCCTTCTTCCTCTCTCCCCCTCTCTCTCTCTCTCTCTCCCTCACCCTCTCGCTCTATCCCTTTTTATACCTCTCACTATCTCTCTTTTTCTCTCTCTCTCCCTCTTATCTCTCCCTTTCTTTCTCCCTCATTCTCTCTCCCTTCCTCTCTCCTTCTCTACACCTACATCGGCAGGAGAGGGTTGTCTCTCGCTCCTGTCTGTGTGTATATACATACACTCGAACCTATGTTAATAGCCACTGCTATAGAGTGAACACATTTCTATAAAGGACAGTTTTGGTGGGATGTGTGTAGTTTTGCTGTCAACTCCCTTTTAAAGAACGGATCGACACATGTCTTTAGATGGCACATGGCGTTTCTTCTGAATTACCGTCATATGCAGGTCAGACTGTACTTCCATTTCGTTTGATTCACGCAAAGGTCATATACGAACAAAACATAGCTTTAATATTACCAGAGGAAATACACAGAGAGTAATATATTGTAAATCTTTGTTTTCTCCGCTGTAACATATTTGTTTGGCTGTTAAAAGGCTGTTGATGTACAGAATCGCACGCAACAAATAAAAGGTGATGTGAATGTTATACAGACTGTAAAAGGTGTTTTTTTGTCCATAATGTGTTTCATGTGCAAAAACACGTCTGACGCTTATCATACGATATAAGGTTTGGAATTTCTTTAACACAGTGGCTTGTGCTCAAAATGCAACATTTGTTCAATATTATCATAAAGATTCACGGATCATTAATGCTGATAAGAAAAGAGTACCGAAACGAGTGGAAAATGTAACGAAATCAGCTACTGCGTACGAAATCAAGTCTACAAAGTGATTTCGTTACGAAATCAAGTCTACAAAGTGATTTCGTTACGAAACCAAGTCTACAAAGTGATTTCGTTACGAAA